AAAAAAAAATTTTTTTTTTTTGTTTATAAACAATAATTAATTATTAATAAACAATTACTGAAGTTTAGTTCACTAGATCGATTCAGTAGATCAATATCTGCAATTAAAAAAAAAATCGTTAGAATCCTTGCTTTTTTGCGGCAGTTATAAACGATTTCATAAAAAGTTGCTATTAAGAGAGGAAAAAAGAAGCGTTCGTACTCAAAAAGAAAAAAATTCATTATTCGAAAAATTCTCATTTCTGAGCAAAAAGAAAAAATACGTGTCTCCTTAAATTGTTCAAGGAACAATCCCTGTGAGTTTTATCGCTATCTTAAATTCACTTTCCGCCGGCCTGGGTGATTTGAGATGGAATGAGCCTTATGTCATTCGATCAATAACTTCTTGCGCTTCTTAACTGCAATTCACTTAGGCAAGCAAAACAACTAATGTTAATATCACGGCAAAATTAAAAAAAGTGACATTCTGGAAAATTCAGAGGGACAATATAATAATAGAAAGCCATGCTTATACTGATAGATTTTTCAGGCAAAAATAGAACAAAACGTTAAAATTTAAGGTAGTCATTCACAAACAGTTACGCCTTTTTTCATTATTTCTTTGTTTAAATTTTCATCATGTTGATTAAGGCACAACCTGATGATATATCAAAGAAATACCGTTCGCAAAAGAAAACAAAACGTCTCAGAATAATGAAAAAAAAAACAGTTTTATTGGCGGTTCATTATTTGGATTCTATAATACACTTTTTAGCTGGGATCCAACGATTGCCGCAATACACCAATTATTGCCTCATTTTATGCCCCAATCGTGTGATTTCACAATACATTGACTCATGCGGCAATAGAGGCCGATATTGTGCTTACTGTACCCAATCAAATACGGCCCGTGTGCGGCAATCGTGTGATAGCTCGATTGGCAATCATGGGGCAATGAAAATTTCAAAATTGCGGCATTATTTATTGTATTCTTGTGCGGCAATTGAAGTGAACAATACACATCAATATTTAGGCTGTTTATTAATAATTTACTTTTTTGCTTCCTTATGTGTCCAAAAATCACTGAAATTAATATCCTTGTTTTCGGAAGCAACATAACTTTTAATTTAATTTGTAGTGAAATTATAATTTTTCTTGAAGTCCGATAACGGAATCTTTGCCGCAATATATACCACCACAAGCAAAACTCATACGAGAAGAATACGAAAGGTATTTTATGTCACCAAATGGCGGACTGCCATGACAGTATAAATTTATTAAAAAAAAAAAAACTTAAAAGTTCAATACAGCCCACGACAAAGCAGTAGAACCTCAACATTTTGACCAGTCTTGACTATTTCTTCTACTTAACTAATCTTCATTATTTTCGTACAAAAGTATAGCTCATTGTCTAACAAAAACTGCATAAATCCATTGCAAGCTTTATACAAAAATTATAAAAATTTCTTAAACTTTTGAGCACAATCCCACGGTTTATAATTTGGATTTCTAGAAAAAAATGGTTATTTAGTTTTGTAGCTTATTAAAATTTAGTACAATAAGGTGGAGGTTTGAAGTTGCTAAAAGATCCTGTTGCTTTTTTATAATTTTTTTAGCTGACGGTATTATGCACTTTCTTCTCTGTAAATTACTTTGTAAACTGCAAAACGAAATTTTTTCTAGAAGCCCAAATTAAAAACCATTGAATTGTGATCAAAATTTTAAGAAATGTTTATAATTTTTGTATAAAGTTTGGAATTTGGACTTATGTTGTATTTACTAGACAATGAGCTATGGTTTTATAGGAAAAAATTAACATTAAACAACAGAAGAAAAAAGTCAAGACTGATCAAAATGTTAAGGTGCTATCTTTTGTTGCGAGCTGTACATATAATTATAAAATTTAAATCCAAACATAAATTATGTAAATTCGCAGCTTTCATTTAAACAAACATAACTCTTTTGTACCAATTTTACTTGTAATGAATAAAAAAACCTCTACGTAACAAAATTAAAAAGAAAACTTTTGCAACTTGAACTCCACATAGCACGTTGCAGTTATCGTCGAAAAATAAAAAAACTATACAATCAAACTTCTAAATAAATGCGTGAGTTTTCGTTGGGTACAAGTTTTTGCTTCTTTGCTTTCAAACAACAACAAATTTGCACAAAATGAGCCCGCAATATACAAAGCAGATGCAATTGATTTATTTTTTTTATTAAGAATACGCCATTTTTACACAACAGAGAAAAAAACAGAATTTAGAGGTCAGCGCAACACTTTATGGTCACAATTGCCGCATGCTCGAACAATCGTGTGATAAGTTTGGGGCAATTATTGTCACTATATTGCTTTTCGCCAACTTACGGCAATGAGAATTGTATAAAAAGAGGCAACCGTGTGACTGTACAGAATGTACAGCACAATTAAAATTGTTCCAGATTGGTTAATTTGCGGCAATCGTGGGATCTCAGCTTTTGATTTTTGGTTTTTACCACCATAAATTGATTTAAAAATGGGAAACAAAAAAATAGCACCTTATATACGTACGTGTATGTATACCTATATACAGTGTTGTCAGATGGTCCATATAACTTCACCCTAAAGCCATTTCATTTCTCCCTAAAAAACTTATATATATGTATGTATTTTTGTAGGTGTCCAAGATTGCTAGATACTAGTAGCTCAGGTATATATCAGTTTGGGCGTTAATCAATTAATTTTTCAATAAAAAATTTGTATGCGCTTTACTGTTGAGGCTGCAATTTTTGAACGTCGCAGTCGAACGTTTACTCTCTATAGTCAATATTACCAAGGATAAGTTACGGAACCGTATGTTTACTACGATGTTTCAAAGTTACGAACCTTTTTTTTTTTCATTCATCTCAAGCAGGAGTTTCACGATTTGCACATTTTTATAGTAACAGAGTGGTGTTGTTTGGAATTTTTTCAAATACCTTAACCTGGCAACCCTGCTTACACATATAAAATTTAAGCAAATGCTTTGACATACATATATTGTACATATACCAGCTTAAATGCTTAAGAGCTTATAATATCTAATGGAGCTGTTCGATTTAATTTACAGGTGGAACTGCTGGCATTCCAGTTGGCACGGTCGGTCCTTGTACGCCCACTAATGCGCTACACGAATGGACTGGCCAGGTTTCTGTTCGAAAAAAGCGTAAACCTTACTCGAAATTCCAGACCCTTGAATTAGAGAAGGAGTTCCTCTACAATGCGTACGTCTCTAAACAGAAACGTTGGGAGTTGGCAAGAAATTTAAATCTTACCGAACGACAGGTATAAGTGAAAATAATTTCCACTTTATTTTGTTATAATTAAGTTGTTGCCGTTTTGAAATTCATTCTATAGGTAAAGATTTGGTTCCAGAACCGACGAATGAAAAACAAAAAAAATTCGCAACGCCAAGCCGCCCAGCAGAATAACAACAGTAGTGCAAACAGCAACCATAACCATGCGCAGGCTGCGCAACAACACCATAATACTCATCATATGAACTTGGGCCTAAGCATGGGACATCATTCTACCAAAATGCACCAGTGACCTTTGGACAACAGCAGTGCCAGCGCAATGGGTTTCACCACCTACTAGCATTTGGCGAATATCAAGACTGAAATGCAGTCGGAATTCCAGTAAACTTGCAAATCTAGTCAATTCAGCATAAATCTACTAATGAATAACTGGACACAACTAAATTTAGCAACTATCACCTAAACAGATACCTAAACACATACTTATATATGTACATCGTTCATTTAAATTATTATTGATAAATGTATGAGCACCGACACACATACTTACATACATATGTATGTACTTACATACGTACATATGTATGTATTTATATTGACGAAACAGTGCTCAATATGTAAATACTATATTGTTGTGCCTGATGTGTGGCAACATAATACTATATATCTATACTACCTATTATTTCTTCGTAATTGTAGGCTGTAATTTTGACCAATTAAAAGTTTCTGAAATTAGGAAAAGTTTTGTTATATCCTTTTTTCCCAATAAATATTAAGTTTTTTTACCAGTGTAATCTCAAACTTCCGGGGTTTTGCAATTAATTACTAATATGTCAGAACTTAATATCAAACCAAATAAAATTATATATTTGCATACATAATTTTGGATGATAGATATATGTATATAGATACATAAACTGCCTTCTTAGCGGTTTTGGAGCAAAATAAAATTAACTTAATTCTAAGGAGTAATAGCTTAGTATGTCGTCTATCCTACTTATAGAAAATACTACACACTTACTGCTTTTACAAGCACAGATTTGCTCGCAACTGAATTCCGTCTTCTAGCAGGAAAGTCTAGAATTACTCGATTTATAAAGACACGCAAAGGGCACTGCTGGGTTCAGAGGAATAATTTAAATAAATATAAAAAAATATAAGCAACGATATCTTAATTAAACATTAATTAAAATTAAAATTATTTTAATTATACAAGTAAGTAATTTAAAACCAATGTGGAAATATAGTAGATGGTTGTTGAAAACCACTTAAACATATACATGTATAACCAATTTCTCGTCTCATACAAAAATATAAAGTAAATAAATTATGTATAACGAAAACTACGTTTAACTTTACAATTAATAAATGCTAACTGCAAACTAAAAAAATTACTAATAGTGAAGGCAATTCAAACGGATTAAACCCATTTAAAATTCTAAGGAATAAGAATTCGATTGTCAAAATTGTGTACTCCAATAGAGTTAAGCTTTCAATGCAAATGTAGACAAACACATGTAAAGAAGTATTTGCACACGTATGAAGATATGTTTTAAATCCAATTACAGTACATGATTGTAGTCACTCCTTTGGAAACATAAATATGTATGTATGTATGTATGGTTATTCAAATTACAAATAATACTGATATCTACAAAAGATGTATTTGTACTGCTAATTGAATTTGCATCGTATATGTCACACAGCATGTGTTACTACTCGATCTGTTATATGTATGTATGTAGTATGTGGCACTTGTATTTTGTATCTGAAACTGAGGTAAGTTCCTGTAAATCCAAAAACTTGCTAGAAAAGAAGATTAGAAATTCAAAAGATTTACACACATTCATATAAATCTAAAAAAATAATTAAAATAAAATATACACATGTAATCTGTATAAGGTTTGATGATTCTAGTTTAATTTAGTATCTTCATACATATGTATGTATGTTAAAGTACATGTAGGAAATATTGCAACAGCGCACTGGCAGACATAAGTTTATAACAGTATGTTCTGACAGGCCGATAATCGAGCAATTAGCCAAGCTTTCTAAGACGATAATTGAGCTCAATTTACCATACAAAATTTAAATTTTTAATGGCTCAAATAGTGCTTAACCGAGTGCTAATTGAATGGAGTTTTTCATGCAAGCCTGCTGGGTATGTTTAATTTTGACTATGAGATGCGTTCATTGAGCAAATAGCAATCAGCAGTTTCTGGTCCTCTTTTACAGCGGATAATCCATCAGGGATGGACAATTTAATTTTCAAATTGTAACCTATCTGCGGAAAAACGTTACCTAAAGTAGATAAATGTACCTAACAAGTACATAAATGTATATATTACCCAACATGGTGTGTTTGTACTAAAAAATTTACATTTGGGCAATTCACAAGGTGTCGTATTTGTCGTGTTTGTCGTGAAGTCATGATATTTCATGACAGTTGTAAAAATGTTGATATTGGCAAGTGGCAATGTTTATTCTGTTTCCCGCTTATGACGATTTTGTTATTTGTTTAAATAAATTGTTAAACACATTTGAAAAAATTTGCCGATTACTTCGAAATGTACATGTCAAAAAAGTAAATTCAGATGTTGTTTACGATTTCCTGAACACAGAGATTAATCGATATACATAATACAAAGTACGATACTGGTAGCCATGGCTACTAGACTAGCAACTAGACACCAGTCGCCATACATAATAGGGCCATAAATAAATGTACGATTGTAACAACTTTTCCATCACTGTAGCTAATCGAGCAGCGGGCCGTGTGTGAACACCAAAAAGCGGTACTTGAATTAAAAGGTTAATTGAATCCATTAAATTTCTGTCTGAACCTTGCTTACACAAGGGCTGCTGTTGATTTGGCGCTTTTAATTCCACAAAGTTTTGCGTGTGATATTTTCCAGTTTATTTAGAAAGAGTAAACAAAGAGCACAGCGCTGTATAGAAGTGAAAAGGAAAATGTGCTCTGTCTCTCCTAAAAACTTTCTCAAAGCGGACTTGACCACCTTTTCGTCCTTAGGCGGCAAAGTATTTTTGCTTGAACTGGTTATGGTTCCAACAACCACACCATATGCAATAAAAATGTACAAATGTACATATGACTGCAGATAATTGTTGTCTCGAATTTACAAATTGAAAACGTTGCCCAAATTCTGCAATTTAACAAAAACGTTGTTTCATAACAGTTGTCAGATAAAAAATATTTTTTATTTCGCCGATAAGAGTTATAAACCAAGGTTTATTTTCGACGTTGTTTGATAACAGTTATTGCCCAACGTTTAATTTTTACGTTCCTCGATAACAGTTATTATCCATCGTCTATCTTTTACGTTGTGAAATAACTCTTATTGGCAACGGAAAACATATTTATCCTGCATAACAGTTGTAAGGCAACATAAAAAAGTAGAACTCATATCGGCGAAATAAAAATTTTTCTCATCTAATAACGTGTTATGCAGCAACTTAAAAAATAAACGTTGGGAAATAACTTATTGACGACGGAACACATATTTATCCTGCATAACAGTTGTCAGGCAACGTAAAAAGTAAACGCTGGGTTAGAACTTTTATTGGCGAAATAAAATATTTTCTCATCTAACAACTGTTATGGAACAACGTTTTTCCGATAAAACTTATAACTGTTATGTTGCTGGCTATAAATCCTTGAAGCTGCATGCATATATGTATTTTTTATGCAAATTGCATTTTTAAATTCAAAGGAAAAAAATACTTATGTAGGTAACTTCAATTATCTTCAATCATTGACATGCAAGTATTTTATCGGTAGTATACTACAATAAAATATAAAGCTAAAATAAATAACTATAGTGTAAGTTTTATGTGTGCATGCCATTTAAAAGAAAAAGATGAATAAACCCTCGGTAATGTACTACCAATTATTTTATTTACATAATTACCAACCTATACTCTATCAAATTGTAGATATGGCATATTCTTAAATAAATAAAAAATAAACAGAAAAAATTTAAGAAATAGAACAACAAAATATAACAATAGATATGTACTTGAAATACACATACATACATATGTATGTACATTCGTACTAAATATCATGTGTATCTTTGGAAAACTCCGACTTGCGATTGCGAAAATATAATATATTTAGACCATTCGTTTTCTCTTTTGTTATTGTTCTTAAATATTGCTTGATTAGTTGTTGCTCTTATTGTTTAAATAATTTAGTATGGACTTTTCTTCTATGGAGCTATTAATATTCCTAAACATACATACACATTCATATGTATATGAAAACTAAAAAAGAATTATTTGAATGAAGTTGCCTCTCTAATTTGGTATTATTTCTTGTTTAAGCTAATTTGGGCAGTTAAAGTTCGGATATATTTATGTTAATGTTTATATTAATCTTTGAATTTAAATGCAACAACTCTAATTGTATAGTGAATTTAGTAGTGAAAACGGTTTAGTTGCCCCTCTTTATGATATATAATATACATATATTACTACCCGCTATGTTTTTTCTAAGTGAAAGTTATTGTGAAAAATCGTAACATTAATAATAAATTAAATCAAATTTGATTAGATTGTTGTTGTATTTTGATCTTTTTTACATTGAAGACACGTACATAATAACACTTGCTACAACGTAACGGTTTCCAATCAAGAATTATGTACACACATATGTATATTAGCGTAGGCCGAAAATCCGCTTTTTTATTATTACCTCCCTTATATTAGCTCGGGATGTAACTATGTAATATTGATGCGCTTAAAAGATGCAGCGATTTCTATTCTCAAGTTACATAGCTGATGGCAGTATGAATGGAAATTATAGTAGCGAGGTTTTAGGTTTTTAAACTATTGTTAGAATTTTGACTGGTAATAGCATAAATATGGTTCATTATGCTCTAAAAACATTATGTGTGAAAGATGACAATTTTTGGTCAATATCTTAGGCTCGCCCAAGTCCAGCAAAGTTCAATGTGCACAAAAAATAAAACTTTGACCAAAAATTGTCATTTTTCACACAGATTGTTTTTAGAGCATAATGAACCATATTTTAGCTTTTACCAATCAAAATTCTAAAAGAGCGGATTTTCGGCCCACGCTAATATATACCTATATCTGTGGTCGTATGAAGTAGTAGCTTATGTCGGGAGGCTGGCTTTAGTGTAATGCGGCATTGCCTTTATTCTTTAAACGACAAGGAATTTTTTGATGAGACTTAATAAGAATATTGATTTGCTAGTATCGGAACTATTTCTTGCACGTTTATTTGCTAAAAGTTCTTCAACGGCTCGGCGCCAGTGAGACATTCGCAATCGTAGTATGCTGCGAATGCCGCATTATATTAAAGCCAGCCTTTCGACATAAGCTACTATTCCATACGAACACTGATATGTATAAATCAGGGAAGCCAACTCGTGGGGAATTCTCCGATTTGCGGGGAGTTTCTGTTTGGGTGGGGGATCGGGGAAAGGACCGTTTTTTATGGGGAGTTTCAGTTTACGTGGGGAATCGGAAGATTGCCTGTTTTTTTGTGAGGAATTAGAAGTTAACAAATTTTTTCTTTTTTGCTTCACTAATTTCATACCGAGTTAAAAAAGTTGCATAAGAAACTGCAACTAAATTACTGATTATACAACCCTGCAAATTATGCAAATTGCCACTTAAAATTTGCATTTTATTATATTAGAATTCAGTGGGCTACAAAACTTTGAAAACTCTTTCTAGAAAATCTAATAAAAAAGGTCGAATTTTTTATTAAAATTTGTTGAATGTTTAATTGAATATTGCACAAAGTTTGAAGCTTGCATTTATGCAGGTTATGTTAAAGAATGCATGTATATTAAAACAAAAAATAACTCAAATTAAATAACAATAAAAAGTTTGTATCGACTGAAATTTTTTCGACCACTGTAGTATGTATGTAAAAACTTATTACATGTCTTTTTTTGTTTTTTATTTGTTAATTAACTTTATAAACGTTTGGTTTGGTTTATGAATACATAAATTAATTACCTTTCAAAATATAATAAACAGAAAGACAAGCAATATATAAAAATACATAAATTTTTATTTTTTTTGTAAATAAGGAGATATCTATGGGTGGGGAGATTCAAGCAATTTCGGGCGAAATCGGGGAATTTCATTGTCGAAATCGGGGAATT